CGATTCTGTGTCCCTGAGTAACGATTCTGTGTCCCTGAGTAACAATTCTGTGTCTGTCCCTGAGTAACGATTCTGTGTCCCTGAGTAACAATTCTGTGTCCCTGAGTAATGATTCTGTGTCCCTGAGTAACGATTCTGTGTCCCTGAGTAACGATTCTGTGGCCCTAAAGTCTCTGTGGCCCTAACTCTGTCCCTAATACAGACAGGTCTGTCTCTCTTGAATGACCGGAGGCTAATGGAGAATTCTAAGATGGCCGCGATTTATAGCTCCACCATTACACAGTGCTGGCTGGCTAGCTGCTGATTGGCTATTGCGATCACATGTCATGAATGAATGCATTATGGGTCAGCGCGCCTTGTCTGCGCGCCTTCCCAGAGATCCCCGCTCCGTCGCCACACATGTCGCCGCCATTTTTGGGAAAATTCGATTCGTGCATCCGAAGTTTGCTAATTTTCGGATTCGGCGCGAATCAAATTTTTCCTAATCTTCGAAACGAATTCCACTTCGTCATGTTTCGATTCGCTCATCTCTAATCATCAGCATGCAACCTATACGGGGTGACACCGGACCCGCTCGTCGAAATGGTAAGTTGTAAAGCAAGCCGACGATCCCCGCAGGATGGATCGAATCTGTGGATTGGGGAGCGTAATGGATTGGAGTCCGATCCATTATGCTCAATACACAGATCCGATCCATTCTGTGGGGATCGTCAGAGGGGGTGTCACCAAGTGTTATCCCACCGGGTGACACCAACCCTACGGACGACCCTACTGCTGTCCAAAGGTGCCCCTGTGCTCCTTCATCCAGAGTGGGGGCTCTACCATGAGATGCCCTTGGTACCTTTTTCATAGGCTTTTTTTGAGTTTGGGCAAGGACACAGGGGCCCTATGATCCTCTATTGCCCGGGGGCCCCATGAGTTGTCAGTCCGCCCCTGATTATTATCATTATTATTATTGTTTTCCATTTTTCCCCTCTAGCCTGATACAATGTATCTTTTTCTCTATCCCAAAGATAGCATACAGGGACAGGTTTTACTGAGTGATCACTGTGATAGCCAACCTCCGGATCAACTGTGGGTATAGGATAACTATTTTTTTTTTTTAAATAGTTGAACTGGATGAACTTTTGTCTTTTTTCAGCCAGACTAACTATCTAACTATGTAACCAGCAATCATTTGATTTGGAGACCTCCAGGAAAGGACTCCCCCCTCCATCAACATACTCACTAGACCAGATGCAGTTCAGTGCAGGAAGTCCTCCTGTTGTTTCTGTCATATGATCAGAGCAGGAAAGGAGGCTTCCCCTCACCTTGAACTGCTGCTGTCAGGCGATCGCTGGTTGCTGCCCACGTGCAACACATAAAAAGAATGTCAGGCGGCTGCTGCACTACAGAAAATTGGTGCCTAGTGAGGTCAGCACCCCCTGCAGCCCCCTTAGTACACCACCGGTGCTTTGTGTCCAGATCTGTGCAGTAATCCAGTGTGCGACTTTTCCTGTAATAAAGACCGCTCACTGCTGCTCACTCTCCTTGTGCAGGGTGACTGGTCTTGTCTCCGCCCCCTCCTGTAGTTTTCTGCAGGCAGCCTGTAGTGGGTGGAGCCTGTTGGGCCCCTCCCACAGCTCTGCTCTCTGCACATTCTATGTACAGCACAGTGATGACATCACGGCTACAAGGTAATATATGGATTTGCAAGCGTATTTGTTAAATACAAAGTGGATTTATGTCCCTTGTGGCCATCGCTTTTCTTTGGCATTTTTCCCCCTCTACTTTCACCTGGGTAATCATGGCCAGTAACACACCTCCTGTATAGTGGGACACAATTCTGGATCAATGAGCACAGGAGACACAACATACAGCAGCATTATCAGCCTGGGGGGAGGGGAGTGTCAAATGTATCCAAATACTCAAACTCCAACTCATGCTTTATAATCTGTTACAGCAAACAGTTGTTTTCCTTTTGGGATAAAGGTTTTACAGGAATACATAAAAGCTGATCAATATAAGCACCCCTGTCAGTATTAAATGGTTTGTCTCATCCCTGTACACTGATACATTCCACTGGAGAGCAGAGATGGGCCCACCCCCCTGTTCTGTTCGCGGTCTAACATTCCAACCTAACAAAAGTTTGACCGCGAACTTCGAACCCAGGGAACAATTCACTAAGCGGAATAATCTACCGCATCTGAGTACGCAGCAAGATACCGCACAGCTACTAAAATACTGCAGGAGCTATATTATTAAGTCATTAAGTCATGTAAAAGAGAATTGCGGTATAAAAAAAAAAAAAAGTGTGGGGTCCCCCCTTTCATTCATACCAAGCTCTTTGGTTCTGGTATGGATTTTGAGGGGAACCCCCATGCTAATTTAAAAAAAAAAAAAATGGCGTTGGGGTCCCCTAAAATCCATACCAGACCCTTATCTGAGCATGCAGCCCAACAGGTCAGGAAAGGAGGGGTGAGTGAGCGCCCCCCCCACCTGAACCATACTAGGCCACATGCCCCCCCAAAACACCTTGTCCCCCATGTTGATGGCTACTAGTTGTGGGGTCTGCAGGCGGCATATTGGAATCTGGAAGCCCCCTTTAACAACGGAGCCCCCAGATCTCGCCCCCCCCCCCATGTGAATGAGTATGCGGTACATGGTACCACTACTCATTCACAAAAAAAAAGTCTAGTGTAAAAAAAAAAGTCTAGTGTTGGCAAGTCCTTTATTAACCCCTTGCCCTCCAGAGGATTTACCCCCCTTCGGAGCATGACCAGGCTCATTTTTTGCGATACGGCGCTGCGTTATTTTAACTGACAATTGCGCGGCCGGCGCAATGCTGCGGACCCAAAGAAAATGTATGTCCTGTTTTTTGCCCCACGAAAACGCTGTTAGAGCTTTCATTTGGTGGTATTTGATTGCTCGTTTGCGGTTTTATTTTCTGCGCTAGTAAGCAAAAAAGACCTGGCAATTTTGGAAAAAAAAACCAGCGCCATTTTTTTTACTAGAAAACATATCGAGTAAAAAAAAATTTTAAAATCAACATTCGTCATAAATGTAGGCCAAAATGTATTCTGTGAATGTAAAAAAATCCCAATACGTGTAAATGAATTGGTTTTTGTGAAAGTTATAGCGTTTACAAATGGCGGTATAGATACTGGAGTGTTTATATATATATATATATATATATATATTATATATATATATATACACTAGTAATGGCGGCGATCAGTGACTTATAGCGGGACTGCGGTGGGCATTCTGACACTGGGGGGGAACTGACTAACTGCCACTGACATCCCCAGTGATACTAATACAGTGATCAGTGCTAATAAAAAGCACCGACACTGTACTAATGGCACTGAGCAGGAAGGGTTAACATCTGGGGCCATCAAAGGGTTAACTGTGTGCTGTTTTACTATATAAGCATGCTGCTTTGTATTGCTCTGCTATTCTGGAGCTGACGGGAGAGATATGTATTGTTTACATACAAACCTCTCCCCTGTCAGTGTTCCTTGGCGATCGCCGGGTGTCAGTGGGGGAATCTCCAGGTGATCGACAACTGTAGGCCAATGGTGGCATGGGCACGGCGGCGCGCCCCCCTACATAGTAATACAAAATCATGTATATATACACGTGATTTTGCACAGCCCTACCGCCCTGTAGCAGTAGCTCTGCTATAGGGCAGTCAGAAAGTGGTTAAAAAAACAAAAATAAAAAAAATGTTCCTCGAAGTAAAAAAAAAAAAAAAAAGCACTCTGCTCAATGGTGACTCCCGCTGTCTGCCAGCTGTGCAGGAAAGACGTTTTTTTAAATACTGTGATGATGTCACAAGGGGGTGGGGTCATCATGCGCTGTGATTGGCCAAAGCATTGCACCTGACCTGTGCTCAGTAGCATTGCTTTGGCCAATCACAATGCACTGTCAGGGCGCAGTGCATTGTGGGGTACGGTGGGTGAACAGCCCGAACACCCTGTAGCAGTAGTTCTGTTATAGGGCAGTCGGGAAGCAGTTAAAAAACAAAAATAAAAAAAAAGTCCCCCCGAAGTAAAAGAAAAAAAAAACACTCCGCTCTCAACGGTGGCTCCTGCTGTCTGCTAGCTGTGCAGGAATGACGTTTTCTAAATACTGTGATGACGTCACAAGGGAATGGGGTCATCATGCGCTCTGATTGGCCAAAGCATTGCACTGACCTATGCTCAGGAGCATTTCTTTGGCCAATCACAATGCACTGTTAGGGCGCAGTGAATTGTGGGGTACGGCGAGTGAACAGCCCAAACACCCTTACCACGAACGGCCGATGTTCAACTCAAACATCATGCCCAACTCTACAGGAGAGCTTGTTCTTTAAAAAAAAAAAAAAAACAACAGACTTACTGGCTGGATCACAAGAAGAAAATAGAAGAAAGAAAACCTAAAAAAAAGGAAAACAGATGCAGCCATCCCATGTAAGAATTGGTAAGCTGCAATATAATGTTTGCTTTTTGGGTTTAATACTGCTTTCAATGACAGTTGTTGTGCCCGGAGTTCAGGTTTAAACAATTGAATTTCTGTATGGGACCTTAAACTGGGATGAATGGCTCACGGATGGACTATGTTCCAGAATTGGACCTTATCTAGAAATGATCGTCTCACAAAGGAAGGTCCTGTGTACTGTAAGAGACAATGTTTTATACAGGCAGGAAACAAGATAAATAGCTGTGTATAAATATATATATATATATCCTTCAGTGGGATTGGATGTCAGTATCTCCGGGTCCTTGTGACCTTCCTGAGACTCTGCTGTACAATACACCCAGCACTACTACGGAATGTCCTCCTATCACACAGCTATCTATGGAATGCCACCCGCAGACAAGTCAATGGAGAGCCCAGTCACATGGACATATATAGAAGTGTATACTGGATGTGTGTCCCGTCCAATCACTGCTCCTCCCGGGTCACATCCCTGCGGGGGGGTTATAAAGTAAAACTAGACTGGATTTTCAGTATTTACATATTTAGAGTGTATGTATAGTCACTGCAGAGGAATGCGGAGGGATTAGAAGCCTTGTCAAGCTTTCAATGGGAAATGTGTCCTCTCTATGTCCTGGTATGAACAAGCTGCTAACCACTGTCACAGATATAGGGAGTATGAATACACTACAGGAGATGGTCAGAGACTGCAGACACACTACAGGAGATGGTCAGAGACTGCAGACACACTACAGGAGATGGTCAGAGACTGCAGACACACTACAGGAGATGGTCAGAGACTGCAGACACAGTACAGGAGATGACCAGAGACTGCAGACATGATACAGGAGATGGTCAGAGACTGCAGACATGATACAGGAGATGGTCAGAGACTGCAGACACATATACAGGAGATGGTCAGAGACTGCAGACATGATACAGGAGATGGTCAGAGACTGCAGACACATGATACAGGAGATGGTCAGAGACTGCAGACATATACAGGAGATGACCAGAGACTGCAGACATAGTACAGGAGATGGTCAGAGACTGCAGACATACTACAGGAGATGGTCAGAGACTGCAGGCATACTACATGAGATGATCAGAGACTGCAGGCATACTGCAGGAGATGGTCAGAGACTGCAGGCATACTGCAGGAGATGGTCAGAGACTGCAGACATGCTATAGGAGATGGTCAGAGACTGCAGGCATACTACAGGAGATGGTCAGAGACTGCAGATATACTACATGAGATGGTCAGGGACTGCAGACATACTACATGAGATGGTCAGAGACTGCAGACATATTACAGGAGATGGGCAGAGACTGCAGACATGATACAGGAGATGGGCAGAGACTGCAGACATGATACAGCAGAGATGGGCAGAGCACTGCAGACATAGTACCTCTTCCTGTCCACCCATAGACTATAGACAGCGGATTGGAAGCTTTGCCGATGTGGGCTAACGTACCTGTACGTCAGCATGCATTAATGGCTCCTGCACGGCTCACAGACAGTACCCCCGGGAACCCAGCGATCCCAATGTAGCCTGGACACAGTGGATCACATTACTGCTGTGTGTGGGCGATCAAAAGGTGTTTTACCAGGTGACTGCTGTGACCAATCACAACACTCACATGGAAAACATTGAAAGTGAAAGTAAAGATCAGTTCTCTGTGCTTTCAGTGTGAAAGATTGTAAGCTCCCAGGATTAGTCCTTCCTAACCCTCTTGTATTGAACTGTATTGTTGCTGTATTGTCTCACTTTATATTGTAAAGCACTGAGCAAACTGTTGGCGCTGTATAAATCCTGTATAATAATAATAATAATATATCAGAGAGAAGTAATGCTGTAATGTGTGAGTGTACAGCAGCCTGTCAGTGTCCCTGATCAATGCCCATTTTAGTAAACATTTCAGCCAGCCCTGTCACCTGTCCCAATGCACACAATAACATGGCCATAAACCATACCAGCGTCCTGATCACTTCCATATCCCATACCAATGTGATAATCACTACCATACCTCATACCAGCACCCGGATCACCGCCATACCCCATACCAGTGTCCTGATCACCACCATACCCCATACCAGCATCCTGATCACTGCCATACTCCATACTAGTGTCCTGATCGCCACCATACCCCATACTAGTGTCCTGATCACCACTATACCCCATACTAGTGTCCTGATCACCGCCATAAACCATATTAGTGTCCTAATCACCACCATACCCTACCAGCGTCCTAATCACCACCATACCCCATACTAGTGTCCTGATCACCACCATACCCCATACCAGCGTCCTAATCACCACCATACCCCATACTAGTGTCCTGATCAGCACCATACCCCATACCAGCGTCCTAATCACCACCATACCCCATACCAGCGTCCTGATCACCACCATACCCCATACCAGCGTCCTGATCACCACCATACCCCATACTAGAGTCCTGATCACCGCCATACCCCATACCAGCATCCTGATCACCACCATACCCCATACCAGCATCTTGATCACTTCCCATATCCCATACCAGAGTCCTGATCACCACCATACCCCATACCAGCGTCCTGATCACCACCATACTTCATACCAGCATCTTGATCACTTCCATATCCCATACCAGCGTCCTGATCACCACCATACCCCATACCAGCGTCCTGATCACCGCCATACCCCATACCAGCGTCCTGATCACCACCATACCCCATACTAGTGTCCTGATCACCACCATACCCCATACTAGTGTCCTGATCACCACCATACCTTATACCGGCGTCCTGATCACCTCCATACCCCATACCAGCATCCTGATCACTGCCATACCCCAAAACAGCGTCCTGATCACCGCCATATGCCATATCTGTGTCCTGATCACGCCATACTTCATACCAGTGTCCTGATCAGCGCCATACTTCATACCAGCGTCCTGATCACCGCCATATGCCATATCAGTGTCCTGACCACCGCCATAACCCATAGCAGCACCCTTATCACCACCATATCCCATAGCAGCATCTTGATCACCACCCTACCCCATACCAGCATCCTGATCACCGCCATACCCCATACCAGCATCCTGATCACCGCCATACCCCATACCAGCATCCTGATCACCACCATACCCCATAGCAGCATCTTGATCACCACCATACCCCATACCAGCATCCTGATCACCGCCATACCCCATACCAGCATTCTGATCACTGCTCTACCCATACCAGTGTCCTGATCACTGCCATACCCCATACAAGCGTCCTGATCACTGCCATACCCCATACCAGTGTCCTGATCACTGCCATACCCCATACCAGCGTCCTGATCACCGCCATATCCCATAGCAGCGTCCTGATCACCGCCATATCCCATAGCAGTATCTTGATCACCACCATACCCCATACCAGCATCCTGATCACCGCCATACCCCATACCAGCGTCCTGATCACTGCTCTACCCATACCAGTGTCCTGATCACTGCCATACCCCATACCAGCGTCCTGATCACTGCCATACCCCATACCAGTGTCCTGATCACCGCCATACCCCATACCAGCGTCCTGATCACCACTATACCTCATACCAGCGTCCTGATCACTGCTCTACCCATATCAGCGTCCTGATCACCACCATACCCCATACCAGCGTCCTGATCACCACCATACCCCATACCAGCATCCTGATCACCACCATACCCAATACCAGTGTCCTGATCACAGCCATACCCCATACCGGCACCCTGATCACTGTCATGCCCCATATCAGCATCCTGATCACCACCATACCAGCGTCCTGATCACTGCCATATCCCATACCAGCGTCCTGATCACGCCATACCCCATACCTGTGTCCTGATTCCTGCCATGCCCCATATCAGTGCCCTGGTCACTGTCATACCCCGTACCAGTGTCCTGATCACCGCCATACCAGCGTCCTGATCACCGCCATATCCCATATCAGCGTCCTGATCACCAACATATGCCATACCAGTGTCCTGATCACTGTCATACCCCATACCAGCATCCTGATCACCGCCATGTCATACCAGCGTCCTGATCACCCCCATACCAGCGTCCTAATCAACGTCATACCCCATACCAGTTTCCTGATCACCGCCATATGTCATACCAGCGTCCTGATCAACGCCATACCCCATACCAGCGTCCTGATCAACGCCATACCCCATACCAGCGTCCTGATCACCTCCATAAGTCTTACCTGTGTCCATCATTTTAGGGTTTCAACTGATCAGTTTTCAAATATTTTTTTAGTTTTCATATATCCCATAGTTTGTAGACTCTATAGCTTTCACACAGACTAATTAATATACACTGTTTTGGGTTATTTTGCTCCACAAAATGCAGCAGAATACATTTTGGCTTACATTTATGAAGAAAATTTATTGATTTTCAAAATGTTATAACAAAAACTAAGCAAAAATTATTATTTTTTTAATTTTCTGTACTTTTTCATTTATATAGCAAAACATAACAAACCAAGTGGTGGTCAAATACCACCAAAAGAAAGCTCTATCTGTCTAAAAAAAAATGCTAAAACTTTCATATGACAATTGTCACTCAAAGTGTGATAGTGTTGAAAGCTGAAGATTAGCCTGGACTGGAGGGGGGTGAAAGTGTCCGGACTTGAAGTGGTTAATCCCTGGGATAAAGGTTCATTTTTTCTTGTGAAATAAATCAGTCCCCAAATAGAATCCTGGAGTCCTGGTCCTCTGGTTTGCGGGCACACCTCTAGCACTGGTGGAGTCCGTGACCTCTTGTTCTCACAGTCTGCCCTGGCTCTGCTGGTACCTCCCTCACTTCCCGCTCGTCACTTTGTCTTCCTGTGGTTAAGGCCTCCAGCCTGCAGAACACACTAAATATTTGTTCTTTCCTCTTTTGCTATTTCTGTCTTAACTCTGCAGATGGAAGCAGTTGCACATGCTCTAGTCCAGTGTTTCTCAATCTTTTTTCACTCAAGGCCTGCTTTAAAATTATGGACACTCCAGAGGAATCCTTTATAATTATGGACAGTCCCGAGGCACCCTTTAAAATTATGGACAGTCCCGAGGCACCCTCTAAAATCATGGACAGTCCCGAGGCACCCTTTATAATTATGGACAGTCCCGAGGAACCGTTTATAATTATGAACAGTTCCGAGGCACCCTCTAATATTATGGAAAGTCCCGAAGCACCCTTTAAAATTATGGACAGTCGCGAAGCACCCTTTATAATTACGGACAGTCCCGAGGCACCCTTTAAAATTATGGACAGTCCCGAAGCACCCTTTATAATTATGGACGGTCCCGAGGCACCCTTTATAATTATGGACGGTCCCGAGGAACCCTTTATAATTATGGACGGTCCCGAGGAACCCTTTATAATTATGGACGGTCCCGAGGAACCCTTTATATGGACAGTCCCGATTATGGACAGTCCCGAGGCCCCTTTATAATTATGACAGTCCCGAGGAACCCTTTATAATTATGGACAGTCCCGAGGCACCCTTTATAATTATGGACAGTCCCGAAGCACCCTTTATAATTATGGACAGTCCCGAGGCACCCTTTATAATTATGGACAGTCCCGAGGAACCCTTTAAAATTATGGACAGTCCCGAGGCACCCTTTATAATTATGGACAGTCCCGAGGCACCCTTTATAATTATGGACAGTCCCGAGGAACCCTTTAAAATTATGGACAGTCGCGAAGCACCCTTATAATTATGGACAGTCCCGAGGCACCCTTTATAATTATGGACAGTCCCGAGGAACCCTTTATAATTATGGACAGTTCCCGAGGAACCCTCTAAAATTATAAAATTATGGAAAGTCCTGAGGCACCCTTTAAAATTATGGACAGTCGCGAAGCACCCTTTATAATTACGGACAGTCCCGAGGCACCCTTTATAATTATGGACAGTCCCGAGGCACCCTTTAAAATTATGGACAGTCCCGCGAAGCACCCTTTATAATTATGGACAGTCCCGAAGCACCCTTTATAATTATGGACAGTCCCGAGGCACCCTTTATAATTATGGACGGTCCCGAGGAACCCTTTATAATTATGGACGGTCCCGAAGAATCCTTTATA